CCTTGAACAACATTGAAAAAAATTTTCATAACTAAAGATAAAAAAATCAATGAGTAAGGAGACATTTTTCATGCTGGGGTTTTTTAGACCCCTCATGTCATTTACAAGATTCTTGATCGAGAGGTGTGGCATTTAAGGGTTAAACACTTATCTCAGATTCTATAGATTTCATTTGTCTTTTTAATTTTTTAAATGTTTACTATCCATTCTAATTAAACTGTATATTTGATGGGAAAGAGCTTATATCGAATCGCATAAAACATTGTGATAAGAGACAGAGTCTCGGATTCACGTGAAAAATATCGTACGGGAATTCCGACACCCTCCGAATAAACCACACTATGTGAATTTCACTCGATGGCATATAATCGTAAAGCCGATAAATAGAGCCGGATTCCAAGCGGGGCCTAACGCTTCAATTCAATCATACTTACGCCTCGTACTAATTAATTGAACAATTTATACCGACTCTCACGGACAGTCATTATCAGCTAATGTTGCGTCGGTGAAGATGCACACGCGTCAACCGGGGAGAGAGGGAGGGGGATCCCTTCGAGGTTCAGCCATCGCTCGTCTCAATTAGCACTTTACGCGAATGCGAAAAATGCCGGCCGATCATTCACGGAGATAACGCAGAAACGCGTGTAACGCCTCCTCGCTGCGATACTTTGGGCGACCTTCTTTTCGGCATCACCGAGGTGTCCTCCGTGTCTCCACGGTTGCAAATGCATCTCGCGATAAACGCCATGTCGCTAGATGCTTGAGATTCCTGATTTGATCGATCGTCACCGCGGTGGATCCTACAGACGCATTGATATCCTGTGCGAAAGTAACGAGAAGAAGTTTATTACGTTATCGTTACCAGCAATTTTTCCTTTATGATTCTACTTGTAACTATATCTTGGGGATGTACAGCATATTCTGCACACGATATATATAAATTTCTTCGGATATTAAATATCTTTTTACGACCTTTTTATATTTTTCAACTTTTACATTTTTTATACTCTTAGGTTTCTTGAACGCTTCTTGGATGCTGGGCGACTTACAATTAGAGTCATGTTCATTGAACGCCAGTCGTTTCAGATTTCCAATATCTTTGGTTTTGATTTCCCAGATCCCACGGGGGAATCTTCCTTTCTTCTTCTTCTTCCCTTCCTTTCCTCGTTCGTCAGTACGCTATTCCTGCCTCGCAATTCCAGCTAATCGCGTCTGCTTTAGCGTGTACCACCCGCTTTATCTCCCGCTGGACTCTGCTTCATAATAACAGCTAAGTGCTACCAGACGTCCACAAATGAGTAAACGGTGCACCACCCGCTGATAAGGGTATTCCGCCGCAAGGAGGAATCGCGCGTCGGTATCCGTTTAATGCGCTCCGCCGTAAACGCGCGAAGATACACCGTGAATAATATCGCCGGCTCGCGATATAAATGCAAACGCGTACGCGCGGTCCAGGTTTGACTAAAAGATTACCCCGCTCGTTACCGGCTTCGGCGTGCTGCTGGCTGTTCGTACACGAGGCGATAAATAGTGTCAGCTTGCGCCAATGTGACGTCGGGCTTAAGAACTGAACGCGAAGAGATTCCGTGGGAATCAAACGCTTGTCAAGCTTAGAAACTATCAAACCGATAATTAAGAGAATTAAAATACAAAGGAATCAAATTTGGAAGAATCTCGAGAGAGAATGGTTTAAACAACTGTTAGAATTTAGGATTCTGTAAAACTAAAAATTATAACAAGACACAAAAAGTGAAACTTTATTTAAATTGGGATACTTTTATATTGTCTTCTTCTTTTCTTCTTTCTTTCAATCTGATGGATTTTCGAGGGAAGAAACTATCATGTGTCATATTTTAGTACAATTGTTAATTAATTTTCTTTACTTAATAAGCTTAGGGACTCTCTTTTGCTACCGCATTACGAAACTCAGTTCAACGAACCTCAAATATAGAGGCTCTCGAAACTAATAAGCCTAGGATCTCAGAAGTTACGATCTGTGGTAGCTAGGATCTATACGATATATCGTAGTCCTTGTAGAGATCTATAAGACAAAAGGGAAAGAAATAAAGATGCGGCCTCGGGTCTTTCGTGAAATGACTCGACACCGGCAGGAAGGGCGAGACGGACGGTCGGGGAGGGTGGACGGGCGAGAGGGGGGGCAAGAAGAAGAAGAAGCAGCGAGCGGTGGCCGTGGAGAGGAACGGGCGGACTCGCGCTTTGGAATGCTTTGAAAGGCCGCGGAGCAGCTCTCTTGGCTAGAGAGCGAAGAGAGAAAAAGCAAAAGAGGAAGAGAGGCTGTCGGGGACGGTCTTGCTTCAATTAATTACCACATTGTCGTGCGGCCAACCGGCGCTGGATGTTCCACCGTGGTAATCTATGGAAGACCCGCTGCTCCTTGATTTAATCTCCTACGCGCTCTCGACCTCGCGAGCGGCGAATTTCGCGCGGCGCAATCGAACGGGCATCGACGTTAAATAAAAAGTTGTTAGAGAGAGACTCCGATAAATTTATCACGAGATAATAATCCGCCGATTTTTCTATACGTATTCTTCTCGTTGATATTCTTATATTCTTGGCAACTTTTTCTTCTGCTTTTTCCTCCCATATTCTCCAAAACCAAGCGAAGTTCTAAATATGAAAAAATAGAAACTGACTTTGGGAATTGATTCTCGATTTGCATTAATTGGTAGATCTCAATTAATAGATTTTTAGTCGATCCACATTGTCAATCCAAACGGAGCGATGCTATTTGCGTGTGTTATTTCAATAATTACACAAGCGCATAGTTCTCAAGCTGGTACTTCTGACGTAATCGCGCAAAGCAAATCGCTACAAGACGGTTGTGTATGTAGATTTGTTGCGCCGAGAGCTTAAAGCTCTCCTCTAGCTTTCATCGCGAACCGCCTACCAATCAGCAGTCGCAAAGGCCACGATGACAAGCGGATATACCTTCATTCGACGACGCGGACGCCTACCCCCGGGTCATCGCTCGTCATCACTTTGTGCATCATGGCGGTGATGTACTGCATTTCACCGTGAAACGGCCGGCGGGGCCGGGGGCCCGAGTTTATTGGCGTAGATAACGATAGCATCTCTCTCGCGGGCGTAGTCGTTCGTCTTTTTTCTCCTCTTCATCGTCTCCAACACCGCTCTCGTACCCGCGCACCCTTCCGCCGACCGGCGCATACATCACCGTCAGCTTATTTCCGTGCACCGCTGATGCATGCACGTAATTGGTTAGGCGGGGTAGCGAACGAAACGCTCGGCTCGTCGTTCGGTCGTTCTCCACCGACCGGTAGGCAGGAGAAGCACGATTCGCAGTGATTTGTTGGACATCGACACGCATTTTTGCTCCCGCAGAATCGAGGAACTAACTAGGTAACGTATTTTAATATAAAATCACTGTTGGGTAGCTCGAAACAATTATATAAATTTATTTTTATTTAGTTATCCAATGATTAAATAATTATAAGTAATAGACAAGGTTTCGATGATCTATTTAAGCATTTGAACTTAATTCGCTCTTTCAATAGTATATAAATATCATAAATATCTTTACAATTAAAATTCTCATCAAATTTTTGCTAAGGAAAGTTGTCTGAAAAATCGGACAATTTTTTTACGCCATTATCTAATAACTATATCACGGATGATGTTCGTTGCGGAAGAGCGCGAAGAAACCGAAAGGGTTGAATTAATGGGCCACTATACGGTGTCGAATTCTGGCGCGCGGACAACGTGGAAATCAATGGGCCGTTCGCCACCGTTCCCGTCGTCGACATTCTCTTTATAGCGCGCGAGAAAACGCATGGCCCTGATGTCACGCGGAAAATCCCGGCTATCGCCGTTAAAACGCGCTGGTATTTACGCGCTCGTATTTCTCTTGTCCTCCCATCAACACGATCACTGCGCCATGCGAGCAATGCGATCGTCGGCCACGCTCCTTGGCTCGCACGATTTGCCGCTCGAGAATTTCGTCGATCGATGACAATTGGATGCTGGACGGGCCAAAGAATAGAAGATGATCGAGAAATCGATATAGGTACGACGAAAATCTAGAACAGCGATTGTACGTTACGTATGCAAAATACTTATCGTATAACTACTTGTTGGAATTTGATCGATATTTTCGTGGGCATAAACATTCAAAATCCCAAAAGCGTTTATAAGAGAAATTGAAAGTTAGAATTAAAGAAGCGTTTAAAATGATTAAAAAAGATTATTCTACTGCAGTATTTAATTTCTTGGAATTTAAGATTCAGAATTTGTGGGGATTTTCTATTTTACTAGCGCTTTTCTCCGTTTTTGCTTTTTAATTATTGCTTGTATGATTAATTTGTCATGCTCCATGCAAACTGTACATCAACCTACTAATTAAACCAGTTAACTGGTAATTATTAACGATTGACCAAGTGCTGAGCGAATAACCGGTTAACCGGCATCGTTAACTTGTTAAACCGATAAACAGCGCGATCGCGTGTGACGTTCGCATAGAAGCAATTATGATTCTTCCTAACGAAAAATCTCTCGCAGTGGATTCATCCACCTTAACCTGTCACTTTTATTTAACCGCTGCATTTCAGTGCTGCATTCAAAGAGACAGCTGTCGCTACTATTTTATAGTGTAAACTCAAGATTATAAAAATATAGAGATAGAATTTTATAACAATCGATCTCCATAAGAAGATTGAAATTTAAAAAGTAAGCTTGTAGAAATTTAAAAATGTCATAATATAACTAAAAGTCATCGCGATCTGAAGTTCTCTTGTTTTTTTTTTTTTTAAATAAAAATAGTTAAAGTAATTTGTTAAATCACTTCGCCTAAAGTCAGCAAAATCTTTATTAGATGTATGTATGATAATTTTCGTATGTATGTATAATCGAGAAATCTTAGACTCATAAAAATTATAGATCACGACTTTCGAAGTAAGATTCTTTACAAAGTTAAGATTCTCAGAATCGACGATCTTGCATGCGAGACTAATTGCTTCCCATTGCAGCTGAATGTTCACCAAAGATCCCTGGAAGCAGCCGGTATCGAGCTTTGCGGCGCCGGCGGAAGCGTCCCTCAAGGTCAGCCGAGCAGCGCGGGTTCCGTAGGGTCCGCGCCGAGTCCTGCGTCCCCAAGGCCAACGCCGCAACCGCGACCACCCCTCGCAACCACCACCTCGCAACCCTCGCGAACGTTGGACGACGACAGATCGACAGACGGTGAGATGATTAATTGTCTCGGTTTGCAGCAACGTGTGTCTCGTCACGTGAACACCTGCGTATTAATACACCGGCTCGCAGGCGTGGGTGCCGGCACCACCGAGGACTCCGACGACGGTGAGAGCAGAGCGCAGTACGTTAACGCGAATTGCGTCGTGTTCACGCATTATCGAGGCGACGCGGCGTCGGAAGTGGAGGAACACTTTCAAAGGGCCCTCGCACACGACAAGTTAAAAGGTAAGACTTGATAAATAAAATTATCTCTCTCTCTCTCTCTCTCTCTCTCTCTCTCTCTATATATATATATATATATATATATATATATATATATATATATATATACATATATATGCATAGGAAAAAAACAATTAATTTAAAAAGTACATGTAATTGTTTTAAAAAATTATGAATATGGTAATCTTGTGAACTCCAATTGGATTGAAATTCGTTTTATTCATCGTATCGAATTTTGGAGAGTCCACCCTCTTTCCGATCTCAATGAAGTCGAAAGGTTTCGACGTCGAAACGTTTCCGAGGCGGGTAATAAAGTACGCCATTAGGCGGCGACAAGGCTAACAAGCCTCGTGACAATTGTAGCTCGCTCGTGCACTCGCGCCAACTTAAAACGCGGGCAGGGCAGGGCAGGGCAGGGCCAGTGGGGAGAAAAGAGCGGAGGTAACGCGTCCCGGCCGCAAAGAGAGAAAGAGCCGCAGGGACGAAGGGATAGGAGGGAAGATTGTCAGCACGCGAGCGGGTTTGGCAAGCGATCGGCAAGCTCATCTATATCGGTGTCGTTTAAGGCCGCATTTATCCCGGCTACGGTACGCCGAGGATCAGTTCAGTAGCCTGCTTAGAATTCAAGACAACACGACCTAATTGTTACGCCTCACCACCTTCCCTCCCGCCCTCTTTCCTCACTCTCGTCGTGCCCTCCTCCTTCTGCTTGCGCGCTAACTTCCCGCGACCGTGCTCGTACGAATGGTAAATTAAGAGCTTCGCTGCTCCGGGAAAAGAGGGATGGTGGAGGAGCGCTGAGGAAAGACATTGTGAGGGAAAGGAGGGCGAGGAGTGGAGAGGCGACATCGCGGAGACAGTTTTAGCCGCGGAATGCCGGGTAACGTACGTACAAGGACCGAACGACTTTGAGCCTAAACGCGCACGCTGCGAAAACAAAGAGGGAAAGAGGAGAAAGGGATGGCTCAATGGAGAAGGAGAGGGTAGAAAGAGAAAAGGGTTACTTTCGGAATTAAAAAGGAATTCGAGTAATTGGCGTGGAAAAATACGCCGGGTTCCGCTTTCAAGCAAACAGAAATTGTTTTGTTGCGTAGAAAGATAGAGTTATTTTTGGAATTGTGTGCAAAATGAAAGAAGTATACTTACATACCTAACTATACTTATCTTGTAATTAAATAAATTCGATATATACAAATGTAATATGGTTAGAAAATAAGATAAGAAAAACATGCATGACTTCTAATCATTTTAAGAATGCCTTAACTTTTCTTAGAAAAAAATTTTATATCGTGAAAAAACCTTTAACGCATTAAACCTCAATTATCTCGGAAACTTGACATGTTGGTAAAATTTGGCTCGCAACATCGTTTCCAGCACTCATAAATGCATAAGAAACATCTTATTTGGTTCGAAATAATTTTTAATTATAAATGTATTATTTTTATAGAAAGAAATTAAATTTTATTAAATAGTGTAATTAATTATTAGATTATAGTTAACAGATTGATAATAAGAAACTAATACTATCTCAATTATATATGTCCTGTTATCTTGAAAATATTTCGCTGTCCATTTTGCTATTTAAGGACGAAGGGTGGACGCGATTGCGAAAGCGGTATCGAGATTCGCAAGTCGTCGATTAAAATGTCGGCGTTTTCTGAAGTTCTGAGGAACACGCGGGTACTTATTGGCGAACCAGGCTTCGACAACCCTTTCTACTCGTTCCTCTCTTCCCCCCGTTCTCCTCCACATAGAGCGATACCCTTTCTCTCCTCGGTCGCGGCATCGGCAAAGAATAAAGCCGGCTGCAGACGGTCGACACTCTGTTTCTTTAATTGCGTTAATAAATAAAGGACAGTCGGCGAACCGGGACCGAGGCAGATACTAGACGGGAAAGAAGAGAGGGGCCGCGAACGGTCCCACGAAGTCCTCAGCCGTATCCTTGTCTATCTCGAGGATTAAAGGATCATGCTTGTACTGACAATACATGACAATACAATACTTTTCAATTAGCTCTTTATATTTTTCAAAAATGCATATATGTAACATTTTGTATATGTTAAACTGATGACGGGTAATTTTTAAAGATTCTATATTTAATTTTGTTGATGCATTTCTGTGATTTCAACTAAAAAATTTTTCTCAAAGTTCTAATTAATTTTTTTTATTAATTCTGAGAGAAGCTTGGTAGAATTTTTGATAGCATGACATTTTTCGTCCAATTTTCATATTTGGTCCTAACGAATATCGTATTATTAAGGAGAAAAGGTATACCTGTTGATCGAGATACAGTCCTGATTGCCGCTATTTGTACATACTTAACGGAAATTCATCGACCGACAGGCAGGAATCAATTTAATTTATAGCTAATTTGTAGATACTTTGGACTCGCGCGATTAATTAATTGCGCGGTGTTATTACCACACTATCGAGGGTCGTAACTCCACGCGTTATGACTCGCCCGTTTATGTAAGACCCGGTATTTCGACGTCGATTTACCGGTTAGACTACCGTCGTCGTAAAACGTCGTTCTCGTGTCAAAATCTATATAATAAAAGATGTCCGTTCGTCTGCTTGTCTATATGGCAACCGTAACCCATAAAAATGCGGTATCGCGACATCGGGTCGGAGAATTTCTTTAATGAAAAATTATTCCACGAATATACATGATTAGCAGCTTTCTCCTAACGGTGATTTAACGATAAATAACATATAAATTTGTATTGCACATTAAGTTAATAATATAATATATCGCTCAGTTATATACTATAAAACCTATAAATTATATTATTACGATACTATTTTTACCATTATAATTATTATATACGATATATTACGTGACATATTATTAATTCCATATTACCATCACTTTACGCGATTAATTAATGTAAATGTGACAATAATAATTTAGATTCCTTTTGACGAAGCTTTATTAAAATATATTTCGGTGTCGTTCCCACGGATTTCGAAGGGCTTCGCTAAACCGGCAGGCAGACTCCCACGGGATCAAATCGGCGGAAGGCAGAAGGGTACCGCTCGGTTGTTTTACAAGCGGCCACTCCGAAGCCAGAAGCTTGTCGTGTATCCTCCCGCAATCCTCTCGCGGTCCTCTCTCACGTTGGATTCCTCTCTTCTTTTCTTTTTCCTTCTTTTTTTTTTTTTTAATCCGTCCTCCGGCCAATCGGAACGCGCGCCCGAAGGTTGTGGACCAACGCGCGAGGTCGACCGCGCCGGTCCACGATTTATGCCCTCTAATTCCCTTCCCGCGCGCGCGCGCGAGCACACGATTTCATCTCCGGCTAAGTCGCTTCGATTATCTGCTAGGAGAGGCATACCGGCTGCTAATTTACTCCGCCGTTACAAACTACGATGATTTAGCCGGCCAGCGGCGTTATTTATTCCCTCTAGTTAGGAGTGGTTTCTGGTGGAAGCGCGACCGCTTGGAACTCGTTTTCCGGGGGGGAGAGAGAACATCTTCCCCCCGCGGAGAAAGAAACAACGAGTTATCGGTGGTATTCATCACTTAGGGATCATCGGCTTGGTACCAGTATTTATGGCGCTGCCTGCCTTGAAAATCGTTTTTCTTTTTCTTTTTCAACAACGTACGACTCACGCTTCTGAACGGGAGAAATAAGAATGGCGCGATATTTAGCAGCAAAGAATAAAATGTTCTACGATCAGATTCCGACGGAGAGGCGCCGAGACGTACGGGCGCGCTCGGAAAGGGTTACATAAACAACATCGGTAGGAACCTTCCGATGCGCTCTCCGATATTTTCTAGAGTCAAGATAAGAATCTCATCGGAAAATTAAAAAACGCGACTTTTCACTCTCTCTTTCTCTCGTTTTTTCTCTGAGAATTTATAAATGCACGTTTTCTCGCGCGAGCCATTAAAAGCGCCGCCGCTGTAAAACTGTTTTCTTTTTTATTGCAGAAAATATCTCCCCTATGTCCATGAGGAACTTTCCCCCTTCTTTTTGGAATAGTCAGCATCCCAGTGATGTCTACGAGTACCCGACGGATCCGTGGCATCCGCATTACCCGCAGTACCATCACAGGTCAGTGCTACCGATCGCTGTTGTCGTTTTCTATTTTTCTCTCTCTCTCTCTCTTTCTCTATATATCTCTCTATCTCTCTATCTCTCTATCTATCTATCTTTTCTCCGTTTTACATAAATGGCATAGCTTCCTTTCCCCTCCCCGTGCCTTAATAGACATTCTTTACAATGTTGTGCGACGGAATATCGGCGCCGTGTCCACGTCCCATTGATTCTTGATCGCGCGCATCGAGTAATTGCGTGTAACTCCAGCATCTCATCACACCGTAGAGACGTAAAACCGGGACCACATGCTGGGAATTTTTCCCGCGAGCGCGCCATCAAATGCTAACATAGCTCGTTAATTAGTGAGACGAGAATTTTCTAAACACGATCTTCAGTCATGTTGAATTAACTATTCGATAACTTTCATT